TCTTCCGGAAATTAAGGTAACTTAAAAGTATCTTCTTCGGCGTTCCATATTATGCCTAAAACCTTCAAAGGACGTTCTTCAGTTTCTGTCACATCAAACAAACCTTATTCACTCCATAAATTTCTCAACTCATCCGAATTAGTATTAAATTTTCTTAAATTCATGTTCGCATCTTTAAGAATTTTTACAGCGCTCTGTGAAAGTTCTAAAGTTTTCTCTATTGTATTTGCTCCATAAAAAAGATCATCTACATAAAGTGCCGAGTCAAGCATTTCACAAGCTTCACTTTGTTCAAGTTACATTTTCTAATGTGGTGTTTAATAGTCGCAGCAAGGATAAATGGGCTTGATGTCACTCCAAAGGGAACGCGAGTCATTCGTAAAATCTTGTAAGTTTTTGAATCACTTTCATCTGGAAATCAGAAAAAACGTAAATAGTCTCTATCCTCTTCCGCTATTCCTATGGTCAAAAATGCTCTCTGGATATCACAGCTGAATGCATATTCATATTCGCGAAATCGCAAGATTACATCCAAAATTCTGGGATTCAACGGTGGCCCAGGATTCAAGCATTCATTAAGAGATTTGCACCCATTACCTTTTGACAAAGCATCGAAACCAATCTGACTTTCGTAGTGTCTCTATCTGATCTTACTACAGCTGAATGAGGCATATAATAAGAATTCTCTTCCTAAGCTGGAAGGACATTCTTCAACGATATTCAGTTTTAATTGCTCCTTAACTATATTCTTGTATTCATTATAAACCCAATTATTTTCTTTCATTTTTTACACTTAAGTTATGAAATCTTCGCTTTGCTACTGCGAAGTTGTTAGACAAGTTTTCTGATTTACCCTCCCAGAATAATTTAGTTATATGCATTCCATTTCATATTTTAAATTGCTTTCGAATTGAGAAATAAATTCCTCATTAAATTTGAAATCTTCACTATGAGTATCATTTATCCCCATTGAATCTGCCAAAATTGTGTTAGTTTTTCATTTAATGCGGCACAACATTCAATTTTCATAATAGAAATATCCCGATTCGCATTTTAATCTGATGGAGGGATTCGACCTTGAACAACCCTTCCAAACAGAATATCAAATACAAAGATTTCTTAAATCGCTCTTTTTCTCCAGTATGAATATCCCAAAAATACTGTGCTCCAATAAGCAGAGACAATTCATTTCCTGACGATTTACTTAAGTTTGACAATTGAATGTTTCTCCTCGAAAGTATTTGCATTAATTTGTTATGAGATACTGAGATGTAAACTGCGATCCAGAAATACAGTCAGTCAAAAGTGCTTCAATCATTATTTTCTTGTCCGAAGCACATAAATTACAAAGTGTAAACCAATCTGTGTCATACGTTTTTGTATTGGCACTCTAGAGCCGAAAGTGCAAACAGCTAGACTTTCTTGTCTAATATCGGGTAGTTTCATTTCTACAGCTAATTCTTTTTTCAAAAAACATTTCTGTGATGCATTATCTAACAAAATATTAATCTCTTTGTTTTTATTACTGCCTATTAATACTGCGGAGCAAGTTTCAAGTAGTATGCTGTAATCATCTGATTCATTCACACATGCTATGGAAGACACAACATTAAATTTATTCGCCTGGACCGTGGGGGAAGAATAATAAACATTTGAGTTGAACGCAAAGCAAATCATTTTGTGATGCATAAAACGTTTACAAATTCCACAAATAGTTTTCGTTTTACACTGCTTATGTAAGTGCCCCTTCCAAAGACAGGCATAACAAATACCATTTTGTCTAAGGATTAATTTTCTCTGTTCTTCTGATAAGGGACAAGAGGTAGAATCGTGATCTATTTTCGGTTTTTTACAAAATATACATTTTTCACATCAATAAATGCAGAAGTAGTAGGAATGTTCGAATTTAATTTATTTTTCACACTATAATCAACTTTGGTTTTATTAAATCTCCCATACGTTTGATTAGATTTTTGTAAAGGATTAAATTTAGTTTCCAATCGTGAATCTGAAGTATTTAAATTAAAGTCTCTACTTAAGTACTCGTTACATTCACGACACTGAATTTCAATCTTTAAAAATTCCAATAAATCAATATCTGATTTATTGTTTTCATAATCTTTGTGTATCGATTTTAACAACACTGGATACAATAGACAACTGTAACTATTAGGATTAATTCCATTATTTTCTAATCCTCGAATATGTGTTTCGCATTTTAAGTAAAGTCTACACAACGCTACAATATCATATGATTTTCGTACTGGACTTAAGTTTAACCGCTTCCCTTACAAATTTTTTTGAAAAAAATTGCAAACAATCATCACATTTTTTTATTTTATTATTAAATACAACAAAACGAAACAAATCAAAATATGTAGGTTTTAAGTTGAATTTTAATTTTTGAAGGTGTAAAAGCATTTTTTAATATTAGTTTACTATCCTGAGTTATCTCGGGCAAACGAAAAAAAGTTAAATATTAATCTTTGTATGATAGTTTTTGAAACAAGGGACAACACAGAGTGATACCTGACGTTCTACACTGGTATCTGGTCTCTTTTCTTACTGGCTTACCACTGGAATCTCTTTCATGGGAGCACAGAGTACACTGTCTCATTGGATTTGATTTCTTCCTTTCTTTTTTTTTTTTTTTTATTTTTTTCCCCAACCTTTTCATAATCACTATCTGAAAAATCATCGCTTTCGCTATCTTCCATCATCGCCATTATTTTATTTTTTTCCAATGCATGCATCCTTCTTTATACATTACTAATCCACAAGCCAGCGTATACTATACAATAGGGAAACACGCGACCAGTCCCTCCAAAAGAACTGGGTGCAACCAACAAAATTGGCAAACTACCAATCAAAGCTAAATATTTCCTTTCATTTCCTACCAGACCGAGTAAAACCGTGATAAAGAAATGGTACTACAAATTCTGCTTCGCCCGAGTTTTCTCGGAAATAATTAACTGCAATATATACGAACCCGAGATAACTCAGGATAATCAGGGTAGTGGTTAAAAGTCTTGCCATATGCGCATCTATAATAATATCATTTCGACCAAAGCGTTCTTTTAATATTTTCAAGGCAATTTCATAGTTTCAGAGGCTTAATGCTAAACCACGTAGAGCTATCTCAGCTTTGTCTGTTAAGTACAATTTTAAATAACTAAACTTCTCTACATTACTAAGATTCACATTTTTATGTATAGTTACTTCAAACTGAGAACAAATTCGTTTAAACCTTAATGTATTCCATCGTATTGAGGTCTGCAGCGATGAAGTTTTAAACGTATTCTCTGCTCTTTAGTTTCTACAACATTCGTCTCTTTCAGTTCGCGAACATTCGCTTTCTTTCGTTTTCAGGATTCTATTCGCGCGAATTTTCCAGTAATGATATTATCATTATATTCTTGCTGTTTTTCAATTTCCTTTTCTATTCCTTCCGTTTTGCACAGTTTTAGAATTTCCTCATTAAAATACTTTAAATTAGCTTCTTTATCTAAAAGTTTCACTAAAAGTTTATCAACTGATCTTTCCTGTTTGTTTATTTCAGTTTCTAACAATTTCATAGTGTCAGTTGCTGCGCGTCTGACAGGTGATCTAATCATTTTTAAAGCTTAAAGTGAAATAAGCAAAAAATAACGTGAAAGCAACTCAAAAAACATAAAATTCCATGCAGAATTTTACTCTCCAGAACAACTTTAACAAAAAAAAAAAAATCAATAAAAATGTATTATGTATAAAAATGGAAATGAAATATGCCAATCTCTTAAAAACCGTTACATAAGAAATACGATGAAAAATTGTTGCCAAACCCATATTTCTAAAAGAATGAAACTATTCAAAATGATGCGATTTCATCAAAAATCTATCAACAACAGTAAGACGGGAAAATTGTTGCCAAAATCACATTTTTAAAGGTGTGAGATGTGAGAAGTGTACTCGGAAGCTTCATTTAAAAAATATTTTAAAAATACAAAATATTGTCATTTTCCAAAATCTTTTTGTTAAAAGCAGTCGCAAGGATGAAAGTTTAACATGTCCAAGAATCAAAGAAAAATAAACTTTTTTAGAAAAACTCCCGTTGAAAAGGTGTTAAGCTCCCTTTATTAAATAAATTCATATTTATTCAATTTATTGAAACACGAAATTTATTTTAAGTTCGTAAAATAGCTAAATGCCTATGTTTCATGACGATGTGAAAATGGAGTGTGTAGAGTAAAATCTCGCTTTCCTATAGCCCATTATGTTTCAAAGTGACGCGATTTTGTCACAAAACATAAAATAAAAAAAAAATTTTCGAGGTGCACTGGCTCTTGTCTAGATGTACTTATGTACCAAATTTCGTAGCCGTAGGTCTATTAGCTTACGCGCAGTGTGAACGAAAGACACACTCACACACAGACAGACTCTTTATTTTATTATATGTAGAGATTACTTTTTATTAATTAGTTTGCATTACTTTATTAATACTGATGCATCTGTTTAATTATATTTTTAAGCCTTCCAAAATGAAACATAATGTAAAAACTACAAGTAAACTAGAGGTTTGTGTATATTATACTACTATTTTCTTGTATACTGGTTTGTGTATACTAAACCTTACTTTTGCTTAGTTTGACAAGTCTTTATATAATTCACCAAAGATTAACTTTTATTCAAATGAAAAAATAGCAAAAGAAAGAGAGTGAGACAGCTTATCCTGAAATGATGGACAAAGCCATTTAACAACACAACAGAAGTTTTACATTGAAGTGTAAAAACAGCAATAAAGCAAATGGAAAGTCAAAGTAAAGCATTGGTAGCTTCAGCTTTTCCAATGCTTTAATTGAATTAAAACATAAATTGAATTAACTTTAATTTAAAGCCCTTCTGTCTGATTTAATAGTTCTCATAAATCATGTTGATAGCTAGTGGAGTTTTTTTTTTTTTTTTTTTTTTTTTTTTTTTTTTCTCTCTCTCTTTTTGTAACCAGTATTTTAAATTTTTTATAGAAATGTAGACAAGGTATAAGTATTGCATGCCATAATTCAAGTGTTAGAGGTGATAAAAGATACAATCAAATGATGTACCCACAAAGTCCTATCATTTCGACTGTCATGTATAGTCATTACAACTTTGAGGATTATCCAGTTGGCAGTAATGTCATCATTGCAGTTCTAGCGTATTCTGTGAGTAATTAGTTATTATAATTATTATTATTTGTATTTTGTAATCTATTAAATAAATTGAAATGCATTATATTCTCTGAAAGTGAACATTGATTTATTAATCATTGAGGTAGAATTTATTGCTTTAAATAATGAAAACCTTTTCTCTCTTCTTCCCTCTGATGTATCTATCTTTAGTTGAAATTTTTAGTTCTTCAAGAAACGTTTTGGAAATCTCCCATTGGGGTTTTGAAGTAGTTTTTAGTCAAGTATTTGAAGTTCCATGCTCTCCCAATATTGCATTTTAATAGCATTTATTCAATATTCAGTATACCTTTTAAAACATAATTTTTGAATATTTTAAGAAAATTAAATATATATTATATCATTAAAACACTAAGAGCTTATGCATTCTTTTGTTAAAAAATATATGTGTAATTATGACCTTAATGAAAATTACTGAAATTATTTTGTGAATTTTGTTTATGTTTTTGTAATTTAATAGATTACCATGTTCTTATGATATTTGATTGCTTCTAATGTTAATTCTTTTTTTGTACTGCTCGGTTATGTAGGATGGAAAAATATAAAATTCTTATGCAGTTTTTATCCCTGGAACTAATGCACTGTTTCTTCTCTGTGCATCATCTTTTTAACCTTCTTCTGTAACCTTTATGTATCATTTTCTTTTGTAGACTTTGTACTCCATCTTCTTAACTTTTCTGTCATATCCAACCACCTCATCCTCTGATTCTTCAAATTCTGTTAATTTTTATAACAATATCGCTTTTTTCTAGAAGAATATTGTTCTCATTTTCTTCTTGCACTTGTTAGTATCACGATCAGTCATTTTCTTGCACCTTGAAATCTTATTAAAATTATAAGCATAGAATTTCCTAAATTTTCAGATTTCTCTTGGGAATTATTTTCTGAATTATCAAATAACTTTCTCTAGGAAAGTTGATAGGAATGAAGCTTATGAGTTGAATCCTATCCCAAGATTTGATGATCCTTTGAACTACTAATCAATAATATTTAACTTCATCATGTCTCGCCCTTCCTCTTTAGATAAGAGGAATGATGCTTTTGTCTTGAGTAATGGTGAAAAATATAGAGAAAATGCAGAAAAAAGATGAAAACACAAGCATAAAACTTGTATCACTATTGCTACAAAAATGCTGTAATTCTTTAGCACGCATACTTTTTATTTGGGAACAGAAAATGTTGCCAGTTTTCTCTGTCTTAATTACTCATCATCGAAATGTGAGAGACATTATCTACGATGTGAAGTGCTTTTTGTAGCAGGCTTTTGTATTTGATATGTGTTTGCAATGAAGAAAAAAAAATATTGATAAAACATAGTCCTTAAATTTTGCTTTGACAGTCTTTGTATTTGACTTCTGCTATTATGTATAAATCAAGAGATTAATGTAGCTAACCTTTTTGAATACTTTTTGTATTTGTAAATCATCAACGAATTTCTCCATTAGCATCAATTTTGGAGATGTTGAATAAGTATTCAAAATTATGACTTCATTGGTATTTAAAATTTTATCTATTTGCTAGTTGAAAATATCTAAGTACAGCAAGGAAAAATATCAGGATGGTATTAACTCAAAAATCAAATATAAAATAATTATTGTTTCAAGCTATCATTACTATGGCAACTTTCGATGAATTTTAATTGTTACCAAAGTGGTCCCGTTCCAGTCCAGAGGACAATCTAAGAAGCTTGGTATGGTTGAACGATTTTTACATGTCTGCCAGACTTGATGAAAGTTGGCAATGTATGGTTTATCCTAGATTCAGTTTCAGACTCTTTGTTGTTATTTACATGATTTTCTTCACAAGAGTGTGCTAGTATGTATGCAGGTTTAAAGCAATCTACAGATACTGTAAATAAATTTCCATTTATATCAATTGTGAAAAATTTTTCAGTCCTAGCTAATATGCTGAATAGTCCCTGGTATGGTTGTTCTAAAGGTTCTTGCACAGTGTCTTGTCTAAGGAGGACGTGAGCTTGTAAGTAAATCATCATAAATGAACATGTTGGTTGAAGAGTCCGTTAAGCTGGAGTTGGTCAAATAAGTCCTTATCTGTTGACAAAGACTGTCAACAAAGTCTTCTGCAAGAACTACATTTGAAGAAAAAGAGCGAAAAAATTCTCCTGGAAATTTCAAGCAAGTTCCATAGACAATTTCATCTAGCAATGATTCAATATCATCTTTAATACATGACCTTATTCCAAGCAAAACTGATGGCAACACTTCACTCTGTCTGACTGTTGCATGACTTAAATGAATGCTTTTAGTTGTCAATGCATGTGTTCTACCATACTGTTACAGATGAGATGAAAGGCAGTAATTCTTGTTTTGTGAGTTCCTGCAAATTTTGTAGGTGATCTATGCAATTCACTTTTGAAGTTTGTATCATGATCAGTTGTTATACACTGGTTATCATACATTAAGGAAAAATCAAAAAAAAAAAAAATGATAACTCCCTCAAAAATAAGCCAAACCGTGTAAAATTTGAATATGTTGCCAAGTAAGAGTAGCTGAGTAAAACTGTGATATGCAAATTAGTGGCACTGCTTTTGGAATACGTCATCTACGAGGAGCATAAAAGTCCATGTTTAAGAGCAAGCCCACATATTTCACTGTGACAGTGACATCAGACATCTGAGATAGCGAATTCGTAACAATGACCTCCAGGCATCATTTGCCTGCAGAACTACGATAGAGAGCCATTGGGAGACTAGAGACAGTACAAAGTCAAACAGAAGTGGCCAGATGGCTAAATGTGAGTCCTTCTGGGGTTCATAGACTTTGGAAGCAATTTCAAACCACCGATTCGGCATCTAGGAGGTTCAGCCAAGGACGGCCAACTGCTACGACGAGCGCCAATGACCGATATTTGACATTATGTGCACACAGAAATAAAACCACTACTCCGACTCTTCTTAGATCCTCCCTTGCTGCAGCCACCAGAATGTCCATGCCAATGTCAACTGTGCGTAGGCTTCACGAAGGTGGTCTGTGTGCGAGGCAACCAGCCATTTGTGTGTCGCTCACGTCATGCCATAGGAGGGACCATTTTCAGTGGGCACGACAACATGTCCACTGGACGCCTGATCAATGGAGGGCGGTTCTCTTTATGGATGAGTCCAGGTTTAGTCTAGAAAGCGATAGTATGTGTTATTTGATATGGAGAGAACCTAGGAGCTGTTATCATCCGTCAAACATCCGTGAAAGAGATGCATAAGGAAGGGGCAGTGTCTGTGTTTGGGGTGGTATCTCTTTGAGTGGACACACAGACCTCCATGTCTTTCCAAGAGGAACCGTGAATCCTCAGATTGATAGAGATGACATCCTTGATGTTTATGTGCACCTATATGCTGGGGTAATAGGTGATGCTTTCCTGTTACAGGACGACAACGCAAGACCACACAGGGCTCGCATCGTAGATGATTATCTTCAACAGGAAACAATTATGTGCATGGAGTGGCCAGCTCTATCCCCGGACTTGAATCCCTATCGAGCACGTGTGGGATGCTTTAGGGAGACGTCTAGTTGCTCTCAATCCGCCCCCTCAGACCCTTGTCACGCTTGCAACTGCTTTGCAAGAGCAATGGCTCTTGCTTCCTATGGAATTGATAGACCGCATAATTGAAAGCATCACACATCGCTATATGTGCTGTATTGCTTCTAGAGGCGATCATATTCCATATTGAAGGTACTTTTCCTATAGCAAACTGGCACCTTTGATTTGTTCATTTTATACATGTGCTATTTTCTATACTACCATATTTGTCTGGTAATTTCTTTTTATGTTATTTGATACCTTACTATGTGTTGTATATTGTGGGTAAGTTTCATTAAATTCTACACGTAACTTTTTCAGTAATCGTTATTTTTCCTTAATTTATGAAAACCAGTGTAGTATCAGGTACTCCAAATCTTGCAATCCACCATATTAAAAAGTTGTAGTTACACTTTCAGCAATTTGGTTAGCCATTGGAAAGCTTCCACCTAGTGAATCTATCTATGCAAGTTAAAATGTATCTATAGTCTTTTGATGGTGGAAGTTAGCTGATTATATCTATGTGTATATGGCTGAACATAACGTCAGGTAACGAAAATGTACCAAGAGGACTTTCAGTGTTTGGCACATTAAACAATTTTTGCACCAATTCTTTATATAACTATTGAGCCTTTTCCATATAAATTGAGTTTTTGTTAGGTTTGTAGTTGCTTTTACACCTGGATGAGATAAGTTGTGTAACGTTTCAAAAACTTGAAATCTAAACATTTTAGGTACATATGGTCGAAGCTTTTTTTAAGATTTAATTGATTAAAGGAAAATTTAATTGCTTAAAAACAAGACCTTTATCAGATTTGAGAAGGGTTTGCAACTCGCTGTCATTTTCCTGAGCATGACACATTTTATCATAATCTCTGAGATAATTGGATTTCTGAAATTCTCAAAAAAGCATCTGCTACTGTATTATTACTTCCAGAAACATATATCAAATCAGTAGTGAAAAGTGATATAAATTCTAAATGAAAAATTTGGTGAGAAGTTGTTTTATCATGTTTTTGTTGCAGGACATAAAAAGGTTTGTGAGTGGTGAATAACACAAAATCTTAAATTTCGACCATGTGCCAAAAATTTCAACTGCTGAATATATCGGCAAAAGCTCTCTATTGCATGTTCTGTATTTACATACAGAAGGTGTTAATTTTCTGGAATAAAGTCCTAAGGTTTTAACCTTATCACCAACATGTTCTTGTAATACGGCTCCACTAGCTATTTCTGAAGCATCGGTAGCTACCCAAAGTTTCACATTTTGAACAGGATGGGCAAACATCATAGCATTGGATAATAATTGCTTGCTGGTGTTGAATGCATCTTTTTTTTTTTTATCGTCCCATGCATGTTTTTACGCGTCCTTCTTAATTTTTCCTTTTACCAAATCACAGAGACTAGCCTGTGTCTCTGCTGCATTTTGTACAAGGTAATCA